TTCCTCCCGGACGCTATTTTTAGCACACAAAAGGAGGACATGTCCGGGTAAATCCGGACGAATGGTAACCCTACCCCAGGCCCTTCTAGGTCCAACCCCAGCTTCTGCCAGCTTCTCTTCCCCTGGATCGCCCCCTGGGGTCCTGAACACCGCACTGAGTCCAGAACCTGGGAGTCCTGTGTCCCCGCACCCAGGCTGAGTGCTTTGGTGAAAACACTGCCTCTCCCTCCTCCCCTACATGCACTGTGTATAGGGGCAGTGTCATTTCCTCTCACCCTCCTCCGCATTGCTGCTGTGGGACATGCCCCTCAGCATCTCTCCTGCAGCAGCTTCTCCTTCCCTGCCCCACCTGCCACCCCGAGAGAGGGCCTGGGCTTCCTGGGGCCATGGGGGGCAGGGCTGGGCCCTGCACTCAGGATCAGGGATCAGCAGGGCCTGCTCTAGCCCCAGCTGGCCTGGCCTGTAGGGGAAGCCAGGGGACCCACGGCCAGGGGGTGGTGGGTGATTTTGGCCAGAGCCTTGCTCCCTGGCTGCGTGTAACTCTGCCAGCTCAGGCTGCTAGTCCTGGGGCAGCCCCTTTCCCCAGGGAAGCAAACCCTGGGCTCAGCAGGCATGGACCCTCCCCCACCATAGCTCCTGGGCACCCCCCATTCCTGGCTGAGCTGCTGTTTGCACCTCCCCCCAGGCACCCCATCACTGTCATGGAGCCCCCACAGCCCAGCTGCGGCCAGGGTGGGAGCACTAGAACCCTAGATGCTACTGATTGTTAAGTTATTGCTGAGGGGGGGAGCTGCAGGCGGGGAGCTGCAGGCACGGAGAAGCCTGGGCACTGGGATTTTGTTATTTATTTTTTATTTAAAAGAAACCTGCTTGTGGCTGCCCGGCTGGGGCGGGGTTTGCCCATCCTGCCAGAATAAAAGCTTCCACTGGCCGGGCTGACAATCACTCTCGGCCAACTCTCTGATCAGCCCCCGGGGCCCCTTGGGGAGGTGTTTGGGAATAATGACAGTGGGCCTATGGCTCCGCCGGCCCCAACTCACAGCCCAGGCTGGCTTCTGCCGGAGAAAGCAAGGTGCCCTGGGCAGCCTGCAGAGCCACGGCTGTTGGGGTGGTGGGTGCAGCCCTTGCAAGCTGTGCGCCCACTGAGCCATGCACGGTTCCCTTCCCCTTGTGGGATCCAGCATGTAGGAAACTGGGGTTGGGCCTGGCCCCCCAACTCACTGCAGGGGGAGGTGCCTGGTGAGATCAGAGGAGGCTCCAACTCCATCCTCCATGCTACACTGGGCCCTAGCTCCTGTGCTCTCCAGGGCAGGCTCCACACCTGCTTATGCCCTCCTCCCTCCCAGCCCCGTGTGGTGCAGGATCAGCTCCCAGCAGATCCATGCTGTGTGGGACTCCTTCTCTTCCTCTGTGCCCACCTGGCTGCAGCTCCCATGGGCCCTGCAGCCTGCATCCAGCAGCTGGGAAGGTGAATCTGCCTCCCTCCCAGCACAGCAACTGCTCCCAGCTGGGGAGCCCAACCCCCAGGCCTGAATTCCCAGCAAAGTCCTGGGGGCTGCTCCTGTAGGTGGCCTTAGCCCTGGTGCCAGCTCTAGCTGCAGGATGCCCTGGCCTGGGACCGGCTGCAGCTCAGGGGGTGCACATCGGCCCAGGCTCTTCGATGAGATCTGCTGGCCAAGCGGTCACTGTCACTTCCCAACCCAAGGACCGGGACCCATGTGGCCCCAGCTTCTGCAATTAACCTTGGGCTAGTAGCAGCAAGGAGTTGGCCATGGCTGCTGCTTGGCCTGGCTCTCCTGTCAGCTACTCCCCAGTTACTGCCCTTGGATCACTGCACTGGTGGCCTCCCGTCTTTGCAGCAGCACCTCCTACCTGCTCAAAGGGCTTCCCTCTGGCCCGGACCACTGCACCAGTGACTCCAGCCACCCAGGAGATGCGGCCCAGTCTGGCTCCCAGCAGGGGCCAGCAGGAGTCCAGGAGCTGCCCCACGGCTTTGCTCTAGGAAGCCTCCACTATATGACAAAGCTCAGGCCTGCCCAGAGACCCAAACTGCAGGGCCCCCCCCTTACCTGCAACCCCCAAGAGCCGCCTCCCCCAGGCAAGCAACCCCCCCCCCCCACACACACACATACACACCCTTGCACAGGTCACCCCTACCCACACCATGCACACACAGAGCCCTGCACAGAGAGCAGCCAACTCCCCCTCCCCCCCCACATACACACCCCTGCACAGGCACAGGTCAACCCTCCCCGCCGCACGCATATACATAGAGCCCTGCGCAGAAAGCAGCCAACACCCCCCCACACACACACACCCCTGCACAGGTCACCCCTCCCCACCCCATGCACACACACACAGAGCTGCACAGAGAGGAGCCAAACCTCCCCCCCACCGCACACACACACACACCCCCACACAGGTCACCCCTCCCCACCCCACGCACACACACACAGCCCTGCACAGAGAGGAGCCAAACCTCCAACCCCCCCCACTGCACACACACACCCCTGCACAGGTCACCCCTCCCCACCCCACGCACACACACAGCCCTGCACAGAGAGCAGCCAACCCCCCACCCACACACACACATCCCTGCTAAGGTCACCGCCCCACGCGCGCATACACAGAGCCCTGCATGGAGAGCAGCCAACCCCACACACACACCTGCACAGGTCAACCCTCCCCGCCGCACGTACACACACAGAGCCCTGCGCAGAAAGCAGCCAACACCCCCCCGACACACACACCCCTGCACAGACACCAATCACTGCCCCCCCCAGCACACCATACCAGCTCTCCTGGAGCTGGGTGGGGGGAGGGGCAGATCTGTGGGCTGCAGCTCTGCACCCCCCATGTAGCAGCCTGGCTGATGGAGGGCTGCTGTCCGCCCCACACACTGAGCCAGCTGGGGCCGGGTGAGCGGACCGGGCTGGCTGCAGCGTGCCCAGAGCGGCCCTGGAGCAGGCTCGGGGCCACTGTGCTGCAGAGCCCCGCCCCGCTTCTGTCCCCTCTGCCCGTCGCCGCGAGGGCTTGGCCGCCCGACCACTCCCACTGCTCAGCCCGACCCCCACACAGAGGCCCCTGCTGCTGCGCCAAGGACATCAAATGCCCTCCCTGCCGCGGAAGGACCCGGCTTTACCGAGCTCCGGCTGCAGCCCGCGTCCTCCACCCCGCTCGGCTCCAGCCTGGCCTCGGCTGTTTACCAGGGGCCTCTCCCCCCAGCGGCCGGGGCTCTGTGCAGCGCGGGGACGCCTAGCGGCTGCACGAAGCAATGCCGGTGAAGGGCTCCCTGCCTCTAACCGTGGGGCTGGCTTCACTCAGGCCCTGCCCTGCTCCTGACACCTGTCCCCCCGACCATCCAGCCTGGCACCAGCAGGAGCCCGGCCCTGCTCCTATGGAAATCACGGCTAGTTACAGATATCTCAGGGCAAGAGCCCGTGTCCAGCAAGGTCACCAGCGCCCTGGGCCGGCCTGTGCTGCAAAGCCAAAGGACTATTAACTGCTTGATAATGCAATACTCCAATACAGAGCAGCCAGGTGGGAGGTGACAAATTGCCACCCCATGTAACCCTTCCTGTGTTATGGAGAGAGAAGGCTATGCCACTCCCAGAGCTGAACCTTGATTTCTGGCCTGACAGATGTTACCCCATTTTTATTTTGGGTTTACTTTGTCCCTTAACACACCATATGTACGTACAAATCAACAACAAGCAATAGTCCGTGGGTTTCAAATCCAGCAAGACCTTTTTCACTCAGTGTAGAGGGGTGCACTTATGTCTCATGAGCACCCCTGGTTGAGTGCGTGCAGTGCCTGCACTTCCTCTCCCTAAAGCTCCTTCTTGGGCTTAGGTCCTTATCCTTAATCAGTCCCATAGTCTAGTAGTGGTTTCAGCTCTGACAGAAGACCTTACTCCAGGGCTTCCCCCTGGAGGCAATGTCCTCAGAGGGCGTTTCAGGCCCCAGCTCTCCTACTGGGCTACTAAAGAGTTCAGTTCCCCTTCTGGGGTATCTCAAAATCCAGGCCACTTCCCCCAGTGGCTAATGGCAGGTGAGGAAGACCCTGGTCCGCTCACTACCCCTGCAGATAGCAGTGTCCGTCGTGCCACTTTATC